TCATCTACTTCCCACTCTTTCCCTGCCAAGCCCAGATGGTTTTGAAGCCTATCCAAGGCCCTGTATCATTTCATGATGAGTATCTTTCAAAGAGAAAGAGAAAACATATGCTTTCTATAAATTTGCTTTTCCTTAAATGAGAGAGATGAGGCCTTGAACAGAACTAAAGACTCGGTTTCCAGGATGGGAAACAAAACCAAAAAATAAAAAAGCAAGCAAGCGATTCTACACTGTTTTGGTGGTTTCTCCCCCTTATACTTAACCACTTTATCATCACTGTGTTTGCACCTTGCCCTGTTGTTTGTTACTTTAATGGTCTCACATGGCTGGGTCTCAAAAGCTCCAATTAGAGTGGAATTACTACCTGGCTAGCAAGATGGGTACTCTCTCCTGACCAGGGTTCAGGCTTGCTTGTTGTATGTAGTCTTCCATCCTCCTCCTCCTCCTCCTGTTTTTCCTTCTTCCCGTCCTGCCTTCCTTCCAAACCAGTCTTCTGGCTTCCTAAGAAGGTTCTAACTTCCTGTGTAGGGACTCTCAGACATGCAGGAGTCACAGCTCCTGGCTCCCACACAGTAGGCGTGATCAAATGGACGTGGGAACATCTAGCAATCCACTGGGAAGGGAGAGGTGGTAGGTGGTGATGGCACCTCGTCTTGCAGAGTGTGAATGCAGTGGCCAATGGAGGAGGAGGTGGGAGCACAGGAGACAGGGAAACACTTCCCGCAAGGCTCTGTGGAGGAAACCTGAGTCTGCTCAAGGAACTTTCGATTGTACCCTATGTCTAGACCAGTGCATTTGAACAGTTAGTTGATAATGTAGGACTAGGCACAATACAGACCTGGGGTGGCAATTGTAATGGGAGTGGAAGAAGTGGGTAGGAATAGAGCGGTAGAAGAGGAAGTTCCAATATGAGAAGAAACTAAGCCATGATGGATTCATAGATCACTTCTCACCTTGGAGCATCAGCTCCTATAGGAGTATGGTCTCCCTAGACCAGTACATGTCTTGCACAGCTAACTGGAGACTGGTCCCTTTCCTAAAGATCTGTCCTTACATGAGAACCCAACTGGCAATGAGGTATGCTTATTTAGTTTGCAAACATTTGCTTCACCAGAGAAACTGGAGCAGACCTTATTAATTTCATATTCTTGGGTCACTTGACCCAATAATGTAAAGCAAGAATGCGAGGAAAAGATGGTGATGAAAACAATTGTTTGTAGTTTAAAAAAAAATAGATGGTATCTACACTCCTGTGGAAATATATCTGGAAATGTTCTCTTCACAGCAAAAGGATAGAAACTTGTGGAGAGATCCGCAGGACTCAAGATGGATGCCAGGGTTGCCAATGGCTTGGTGAAGGGTGGGGGCGGGGGTTCCTTGAGACAGCTATTGCTCTCCGCGCTTTTCCTGCTGCAACCACTGCCGCTACTTACTTGGCAGTGGAAAGTTCTACACTTTTGAGTTGTTGCACTTGACTTGCTACAGAGCTTAAGGGCTTGATGGGTGATGTTTTCAGTTCCAGGGGTCATGAGTTTGAATGGCAGTCAAGTATGTACTAGAAATCTGCAAGAGTGAAATACGTGACTAAATGACCTCTAATGTACCTTCCATTTACATAATACTCCAGGTCACGGAAATTTAGAGCTACCCAGAATATTCTCTTTCTGAACTAAAAACTCATCGCGTTCAGTGGATGACTCAATGACACGATGTTTCATCCTTTGTGAGATTTCAATTCTCTAGCTTTATGGCATTTAGCTTTGGGCTCTGGTAATAATCTTGTTCCAGACAAGGACCACGCCAGTTCCCCAGCCCCCACACGTGAATTCATTCCCACTCATTTGTTCCCCCATTTTTGTCCAGTTTTCTCTCACCTCCTCCCCCCTGTGTAGCCCATGGCCCTCTAGCTTCTTAGGACATGGTCTCCTCCAACTGCTGTCCACCCAACCCTCACCTCACCTGGAAGCTCAGTGGTACCCTTCCCTCTGGACCGACTTTTGGTTTTAAGAGAGGAAATGCTGTGTTGGCTGAGTACTAAGAGCCTAGAACCCTTGTCTTTAACCCCCTTCCTTCAGACTTTTAATGGGTTTGTGCCTCTATGCTCCACCTTTTGGCATGGCTGCCAATCACCCCTTGCTCCTAGCCATCTCTATACCAGCACTTTCCTGGCTGATCTCTGCCATCCTAGTCTTGCATGGAACCCTCTCTGGTTTTCAAATCATGAGACCTGGGAAATGGACCTTACAGCCTACAAGTCCTAGGTCCCCAAGACACACCCCTACTCTAGCACATCTTCCTCTTAGACTGCTGTGTGGACTTCAGACCCTGTCCATCCACAGCCCAGATGGTTCACAATCCGGGTCCATCTCTGGCCCACTTTGGCCCCCGTCAGCCCCGAAGCTCTCTTACATCCTTCAACTTCTTTTGTACCCAAAGATCCAATGAAGGTAAAGTCTCTAGCCCTGCTCAAGCCTGGGTCCTCCGTCATCAGCAGTGCATTATCTGTCTAATTGCTTTTCTCTGGCATCAGGGCTCTTTCTTGTACACCCAAACTCTGAATTGGGACCCAGGGCTTGCTTGTCGTGACCGTGGTAGCAATGTCTGTCTCATGACCCTTGCTTCCTTACAACGCTCAGGGCCTCCTCAGCCTCAGAGATGGAGCAAAGCAACAGCCAGTGATGCATTTCTGAGAAGTGACCCTGACCCCAAATGTTGATGGCAGCCATAGGGCCTGGTGGCAAGGATCTAGACTTCCTAGTTTTCCAAGTGTAGCCCCCCCCCAAAGCCAGGGGGGAGGCTCATTCTGGATTTCACCTCCTGTTCTCTTCAGACTGTTCATCCTCTACTATCTACCTGAAAGTCTGAGCACCACTGATGTATGTCCAATGTCTTCCCTCAGGAAGGGCCAGTCTCTCAGTGGAAAGCAGCAAGGCAGCCTGATCTAATTGTATCTGGACAGCATCATTTTATAAATCATTTTCCCCTTAGCCCTTCAAATGACTGAAGCTAGTCTCTCCTGCCTACAATCTTGTTTGGCTGAGCCAACCATCACCTCCCCCCCTTCCTATTATACCCCCACCCATCCCCTCTCCCACCAGCCTACCCCGACCTTCCAGCTCAGCTTCACTCCTCCGGGAAAGGCAGCCGGGACCAGAGAACACTGAGGTACAGAGATCACCATTGGCTCTGACCAGAAATTTTTATTTTTTTAAGTCATTTTTGATAATTATTACTTTGGCTTTTTTTTTAAGGTCTTGCTACTTACTTAGCCCAGGCTATCCTTTAACTCTTGGTTCTCAACCTCCTGAGTGCTGTGATTACAGGCAGGTGCTAATACACCTGGCCCCAACATAGCTGGAGGTTGTATTCTCTTCTAGAAATGCTTGATAGCCCCTTTCTGTATTATCACAACTGCCTTCGGCCAGCAACACCTATCACCTCGCTCCTAAACTTCGCGAAGTTCTTGCTGAGTTTCCAAATAAACAGGGCTTTCCTTGTAACCCATTTGGGTTCATGATCAGTACCCACAGGTTCAGCTCACAGAGGGTTTCTGGTTGCTGGTCTTTCCTAAGCAGAATGAACAAATCTTAGATTTAGATACTCAGAAATCCCAGATTCGTGTCTGATTTGTTTTTTATTACTTTGCTAAGAGGCCTTAAGCAAGTTTCTTGGTATTATAGTTTGGATATGCAGTAGTCCCCCTAAAATGTTCATGTGTTGAAGGTCTGGTAAATGACTGAGAAGTGACTGAATCATGAGGGCCATTCACTAGTCGATCCATTTGAGGAGTTAAGTTTTAACGGAATGGGCTACTACAAAGCAGGACTTCATAAGTCTGTCTCTGGGGGTGAGCCTCGGAAGGGATTATTTTGCCCCAGACCTTTTGCCTTACTCTGTCTCTTGACCACCATGAAGCAAGCAGCGGTGCTTCCTAACACCTTCCGCCAGGCCCGAGAGCGAGGAAGCCAGCTAACCACAGACTGACGCCTCTGAAACCAGCAGCCAACTCAACGTCTCCTCCCTAAGAGGTCTTCACGCAGACATCCTAGCTTTATAGGTGTCTATTTTCACCTGCATGCACAATGGGCATGATAACGTTAGGTACCTTTTTCCCCGTTATGTGGGTTTCATAAAATGAGCACATTGCAAAATGTAAAACCGCAAACATGAACAGACGGAAGGCACAAGGATTCTCCAGAAACCAGTCATGTGGGAGAGGATGAAACCAGAGCCACACTCTGGCTGTTCACATGGGTGTCCAAGGGCACAGACGGGCACCACCCAGCTCCAGCTTCTCATTGAAAGAGGAAGTGAAAAATGCTGATGCAGTGGGAATCCTGCAGAAACAGGGCCCCGAGTGAAGCTCCGGGAACAGGCACTGAGCAGAGGGACGTTGTCCCCGACCTCCCCTCCAGTGCCCCTCTGTGATTCAGGGACAGATGTTTCCAAGGGAAGCCTGTGATGCAGAGCCTCCCACGCATGGCATGTCTTGGAAGGACTTGAGTTAGAACACATGGCCCAGTCATTATCTGCACATTTCTTGGGCCTGGGCGCTGTCCCTCAGCTTCTTTTGCTCAAGGCTAGCGCACTACCACTTGAGTCACAGCACCACTTCTGGCCTTTTCTGTGTATGTGGTGCTGAAGAACCAAACCCAGGGCTTCATGCATGCTAGGCAAGCACTCTACCACTGAGCCACCTTCCCATCCCTTATCTGCACATTTCTACCTCCAGGTTCTCAATTCTTAAAAATAGGGTCTGTCTAAAAAATAGGAGCCCAAGAGTTCAAGAAAGGCTTGGTATTTTCACCTGATTCCTTCTCGATGAACCACCAGGTACCTTTCCAGTTAAACGGACTTTGCTAACTTGCATGGTTCACAGATAAGGAGGGTAAAGGTTTTAGTATACACATACTTTTCCAAATGACTAATCACAGGGTCATAACCAGAATGCATGTACAAAGAATTAGTGTTAGGGATTAAATACACCCAAACTACCCAAGTAACAAACACCTAATATTTATTAATAAATTAGTACACTTGAAGGCATTTTTCTGATCATGGGTTCCTCACGATTACCCACACATCCTGCTCACACAGAGTGAATCCACACCATCTTTGCATTAGAATCTGACCACTGAGCATTGGCGGGTAGATTCATAAATGGGAGCATAGTTGTAAATATATCAGACAAGAGTTCTTACAGCCGCAGCCATTTTTAATTAAAGTGATTGGATGATGAAGGAAATCCAGCAAGGCCCGAAGGCAGGCTAGACCTACCGACTATGTGTGTATAAAAACAAGGGCATCTTTGAAAGCAAAGCTGGGCACATTTTCTATGGGAAAAGGTGCCAGTGGCACACAGTTTTGTTTTTCCAAAGTGCAGCAATGTGTTCCCGAACAACTCAGTCCCTAAAAGATGAAGTTCAAGTTCTTTGGTGGCCCAGGTGTCAAGCCACTGAAATAGCAAGTAAGTCCTGATGGCTTAAGGATACTTCACCAGCCCAGAGCATATTAGCATTAAGAAAAGCACAAGTAGTCAAGCATTCTACACAGTGAAAACCATACAATCAGCAAGTGTGTCAAGTGTCAGCCATGAATATGATAATAGACAAGGCATAGTGAAAGAGAACTCAACATCTAAGTGCATTACAGTAACTTAACAGGGTCTTCAATTTGCTTAATCCTTAAGAACATTTGTAAAGGACAAATCAAAATATGAAGAGTCTTATTTAAACACAAAAGAGCAGGGATGGACACTGAAAGACAGGATGCTTATAGAATTCACAAGATGCCATTACTCTCTGAAGGAGTTAGAAAGAGCCTCACAATCCAGTGTGTAAGAAGAGTCACACCGTACTGGCGGCAAGCAAAGTGGATTTAAAGTGCACAGAACAATTGTGAAAATACATAAGAAGGCAAAAAAAAAAAAAACACCCAGAAAATATGAAACTTAAAAACTTTAGTGGTGGGTTTTTTTTTGCAACAGTTAAATCTTGAAAAGGCTTATAAACTAACTTCCCATAAGGAAAAGAGAGGAGGGGAAAAAGAGGGAAAAGGAAGGGAGCCAAGAAAAGAAGTACCAAGAAAGAACCCAAGCACTGGCCATATACTCTGTTACACACACACACACACACACACGCACGCATGCACGCACGCACGCACACGCAAACACACATTTGAAGGGGGGAGGCAGGGAGAGGAGGGGGAAGAAACAAAAGAAAACCACCCTGCCACTAAGTTGATTTCCAGAATGCAGTGTCTGTGCGCTCTACAGCAGATCGGGAAGATGGCTATACACGGAATCCAGGAGGGTCTGACTGGCTTCTTGACTCTTGACTCCAATGATCTCGAAGAGCCGGTCCAGTTTGTCCTCAGCCTGAGGGATCTCTTCAATGGTGCGCAGCTCCTCGGGGTTCAGGAGGTGGAGCATGTCATCGAAGATCGGCTGCAGGTCACAGGGGTCCAGCCGTACCTGCCGCAACACTGTGTCCTTCTTTTCTGCAGCAACAGAGGTGAGGGAAGGAGGGGGAAAGGCCGGTGAGCAGGGCTGTGCTGGGGGTGGGGATTCCCCAAGGCGAGTCTACCCTCTCTTCTCACAGCCAATTAGTGTGTGACTCTCAGGCATATTTTACACAACAGTGTTTTACTTGTAGAGATCAAAGACCTGCTTGAGTGGATCATTAAGGTGACACCTGCCTAGACTTGGATGGCTTCTACATTTTCCTGATTGTCAGGAGAAAGATGCTGAAATGTATTCCATTTGTCATGCATCTACACTTTGGCCCATTTCTTTTACAAAAATTCCAAGCCAAGGTAGTCTGTTTGTCAGGCTTTATGACTACGCTGCTATACTTTTAAGACCAAACTGAGAGAGCACGTAAATGAGAAAATATTGCTTCTTACATCATACTTTCCATGGGGGTGAAGAATTATATCCCTTCCTAAAATTACACAAGTCTCTCTCTACAGCAGGTGTGACATAAATCTAAATGAAAATACTAATATTCCACACAAATACAAAATAGATGAATATAAATGTGTGAAATATACAGAATAGTAGGAACTTTATAAATTATGTACGATGAAAACATAAATGGAATTACCTAAAAACTAGAGAAGTTGTAACTCAAAACTACTGTCTACTTGGTGTGTATGCTAACTCCCTACTGCACTGTTAAAAATAAAATGGGTCAATTAATTTGCTAGGCATTGCAATCCATTGTTTGTAAAACACTATTTGCTTAAAGGGATTGTGTGGTATATCAGAAATGGGCTTTGTGTTTTTTGCTCAATGCTGGCATACTACCATACAACCACTTGAGCCACATCTCCACTTCCAATGTTTGGCTGGTTGACTGGTTTACTGGAAATAATGAGTCTCTTGGCTTTGGATCTCAATCCTCAGATCTCAGCTTCCTGAATAGCTAGGATTACAGGCATGAGCCACTATCAACCAGCACATAAAGGGAATTTTAGGGTACAGTTTACTCACCAACAGTATACTTCTAATCCAAGATCGGTTATACGCTCAATCCTTGGACTGAGCAAGCCTGGTAAGTAATTTTCAAAAAGCCTGCCCGACTAGTTTGGATCACCTGTCCCCAGCACCAGAGGACAAGGGTGACACGCTCATCTCCTCCGCTCCCGCCCTGCCGTAAAGGTTTTCTAGGTGAAGCGGCTTCCCCGAGGCCAGTCCGGTCTGGGAGTGAGGCCAGATCTTCCTGGGCCCGTCATCCCAAAGCTCCAAGCTGCAAGCAGATGGTAGAGCCAGGCAGGAAGCAGCCCGAGGCCCGCCCAGGCCCCCCTGCCGTACCTTTGGTAATAAAGGAGCCGGTCCTGCTGAGTGCCGAGGAGCCGCTGGACGTGGAGTCACAGCGCAGAAGGGGCTCGGACTCGTCCACGAAGAACCCCTTGTTCTTGTCCAGCGGGGAGGGCTCCACAGTCAGGAGAGCGGAGTTCTCAAGTTTCGTATTGGGACTGGGGATGGGGCTCGGGCTCAGCGGCCCGGGGCTCATCGGGAGAGCCAGTTTGTCCGTTTCCAACTGTGGAAGAATAAAGAGAAAAAGGGTTATTTGTGAACAATTACAGACGGAAAAAACAACAACAAAATAAACTTCCATGGAAACAAAAAGTCCTTCTCAAATAGTTCTTATTTCCATTCAATACTGGTCAATCCTTGCATTTTAACTGTCCATAACACTGTATTGTTGTGAGATATACACATACATCTACAAAATAGTCTACATGGTTCAGTGTTGACAAAACAAGGAATAACTGCATGTATTACTTGCTTGATTTTGGTCCTGTTTCTTTGGTATTACATTGTAGTGATTTGTGTAATCTTGTTGTATTACAACAATATTATTCGATACTGGTTTTATTATTAAGCTGAAGCAAAGGCTTATTGGTTAAAATACACTCAATTACTAAGTAATTTTTCCTTTTACTAATTCAAACCTGTGGAAGTTTAAAAAAAAAAGCTAGATAATACCGTATTTTAACCCATTCAAAAGCATAGGTGGGTAGATGTGTAAGTTTTTCAAAAGTTGGAGACCCAGCAGGCACCAGCGGCCCTTGCCTGTAATCCTAGCTACTCAGGAGGCTGAGATCTGAGGATCAGGATTTGAAGCCAACCCAGGTGGGAAAGTCTGTGAGTCTCTTATCTCAAATTAAACACCAAAAAGCTGTTACTCAGGTGGTAGAGCACCAGTTCAGAGAAAAACCACCCGGACCTCACCCAGTCCCTGAGCTCACGCCCCATTATTAGCACGCACACATGCACACACATGGGCACATACCCTGAGACACAGACACAGCACAGGCACACACAGAGACACACAATCAGGAAACCCATGAACAACTGCCTGTCATCCAAACTACTCTCAGAGGCTGAAGGAGGAAGACTGTACGTTGAAGGCTGGTCTGGACAAATTAGTACAACCTTCTCAACAAAGAAACAAACAAATACACAAAAAAATTAAGAGGCATACACCCCAACTTTTACAACAGGACACTGAAACTGACATGGGCTGAGGACAAAGGGGCCACAATTTAAAATACAATTAATTTTGTGCAGCTGAAAGCAATCTTAGATATTCAATTTATTCCCCTCCAGTGTGAGCCAATATTTTTCAGCAAACACCATTAACTCTAAAAGGAGATACCCACTCTAATACAGTAAGATTTGAGGAGGGTAATACTCTACTTTCATCAAGAGACAGATCTCCTAGAGCAAAAACACCAACAAAAAAGCACTGGGGCCAGGCGCCGGTGGCTCACGCCTGGAATTCTAGCTACTCAGGAGGCTGAGATCTGAGGATCGTGGTTCAAAGCCAGCCGGGGCAGAAAACCAGAAGTGGTGCTGTAGCTCAAGTGGTAGAGCGCTCACCTTGAGCTGAAGAGCTGAAGGACAGCACCCAGGCCCAGAGTTCAAGCCCCATGACCCGACCAAAAAAAAAAAAAAAAGAGCACTGGGGTTGGGCTGGGAAGGTGGCTTAATGGTAGAGTGCTTGCCTAGCATGCATGAAGCCCTGGGTTCGGTTCCTCAGAACCACATAGAACCAAATGCATATACTGACATCTGGGTGCTGCGCCCTCAGCTCTTTGGCTCAAGGCCAGTGCTCTACCACTTGTGGGCTTTAGTTTTTAATGAGGTTTTCTAGGCTGCACGAACACCTGGACATCAGATGACCAGAGTTGGGGAGTGGCTGGGGAGTGGTGGGCACCGACCCATCGCTTAGAACTCTCATCACTTCAAGCGAATAGTCACAAGCCCCTCATCCAAGACACCAAGTCTCTTCTCCAAGAACTACCATGAGGACACATAAGGTCTACTTCTTGTCGCAGCTTCTGAGAAGTCCTGAGAAGCTCTCACCACCGGCTGCAGCTTGTGAAGAACATGTTTAATATTCTACCAGAACTGCTCCACAGAACAACCACCCACACCCGCTTCTGCTTCAGTGCAACCTGCTGACTCAGACAGCACACATGACGTGTGTGATTTGAATATTTTAATTCACCAGATCCCGGCCTACGCCCCCTCCCTGGACACGTCCATGGCCATTCATACCAATACACTTCTTTAGGCCCACAATAGACAATGGACACTTGTCTACATTCTGGTTCTCAGGAACCTAATACCGGGAGACAGATCCATCAATATAGTGCACTGTTCTTCCTTTGAAAAGAAGTTCCTACATGCAACCCCATGACAACAGACCAAGTCCACCCACCCCTTTCCAGAACTCATTTCAAAATGACATCATTCGTCACTCCCCCAGTTTTACCAAACGGTCCAATCAGTGGGAATTAAACGCACGCCATCCAGCATGATTTAGAGCAGATTCTCTCCGTAGCTAATGCCGAGCTGAGTGAATGGGGATTGGTCCTATGAATGGTGTAAGCGCCACAATGGAGCCGCAAGCCGGTAAAACCGGCAGCTTCTCAAAACCCACTCCGCTACCAGGTGTGTGTGATGGAGCTGCTCGCAGAAACTTCTGCCCTCCTAAGAGTTACCACATATCACAGCTAGTCGGCATGCTGTAAAGGGACCAGGCCTTGATTTTCAAGTGGTATCACTAATCAGAAAATCAACTCATAGGCCTCCATTGAATCAGTTTTATTTTTTTTAATCAATTATGAAAGTTCACGGTTCCGCAAGAAAAGAACATGTAAGAGAGAGACACTAAAGCAAGAGATAAGTATCTAAACAAGAAAGCCAATTTCCTTACCCGAGGGTCTTTTCTTTAAAAAGCTTTGAGCACAGACACACAATAGTAAAGGATTCAATTTATTCCTTAAGTATCTTTGAGCTTTCCAAATTTTCTCTCTGTGTGTGTGTGTGTGTGTGTGTGTGTGTATGTTGCTGGGGGTTGAACATACAAGGCTGGCTCCATACTGCTGAGCTACACCTCCAGCCTAGTTTCCCACTGGCTATTTTAGAATAGTCTCACTTGCTTCCAGGGCGCGTGCGCAAGCTGCAGTCTGCCTCCTCTAGGCCCCTGTGTCAGCAGGTCCTGGTGAGGGCCAGCATCCCCAGCTTCACGGAGACAGTCTTGTCTCCCAACCCACCAAGCCTCCCAACCCACATCCCCAGCCCTAAAACCCAACTGCCCACTTTGGGCCCTCAACCAATTTACCACTAGAAACTCAACCTCAAAAACAGCTCCCCACTTCTCTTAGCAGACGGGACTCCCCCAGGCCCGGGCAGGAAAGGAACACGTTCGCTCCCTGGCTCCCTGGCTCCGGGGACGTGTGAGGCAGGAGCAGTGGGCGATCACGGTGGGCTGGCAGGGAAATGCAGCAAGCTCTTTTCCTCTGAGCCTTCCCGAGAACACACCCGAGTGGGAGTGGCCTGGCGCCCCACATTTGTTTCAGTACACGTTCCTCCATTCCCACAGCTAACGTCCCAGAAAACCACTCCAAGGGACAAGGGAAGGCATCTCATCGCAACTCTCTGTGCACTTCCTCCATCAGAGCTGCCTCCTCGTTTCTAAAGTGAAAGGGTTAGACAAGGCGACCTGTAGGCTGCTTCCGTTTGATTTACGGATGGAATCCATCCTTCATCTGCAGACACCTCAACCCTCACTTCCCACACAAACCCCCTTTTTCCTTCCCAAGTTGCCTCCAACTGGCTCACTCAACTAAGGTTTACCACTGATTTATTTTCAATTACGCCCAATTCCAGCGTCCCTGTGGCTGTGCAATCTGTTTTCGTAAAAACTAAATTAACAACTTCTATGCATCAGTGAGCCCCTGCCATGAAGCGTGTATGACCCAGCCAGGGTGCTCCCTGCCAGCCTGCAAACAGGGCCTTACTAACCCGTGGCTTCTGGCACTATCTCACCGGTGGCTATTACCAGGCCCCCTCTCCCCAAGATCTGCCTGAGGGTCTCCAGAATAAAGCTGCTTTCCGATGGTCCAAAGCCACCCTCTGGTCCACCGTTCCGTCTAGATCCCACCTAAGGCTTCGAGAAAAGCAAAAGCTCTACGTTACGTTTGAAGGAGTCTCTATTGCTTTAACCATGGTTTGTTACAGCCCACTTGCTAAATCCAAGTGAAAGTAATTGCTGTTCCACGAGCTCATGGAAAGGGACAAAGGGGGTGGTAAGAAAGAAGACATCACCAACATGGCGCCAGATGATTCAACTCAACATAGCTGTGACCTACGGTCTTCACCCCAGGTACAGTTGAGCAAAGTGGGGCTCCTGCCCAAGGTCACAGAGCCTGGGTCCAAGGTCTCAGAGTTGGGTCCAAGGCAGGCTGTCCAGCGGCAAAGTTACCTACTTTCCTGAACCCTGTCACTTCCCTGTCTGGACCTAAAGCACGTAAGGAAGTTGACAAACTAAACGGCTAGGGGCTAGGAAGGTGGCTCAGTGGTAGAGCGCTTGACTTGCATGCATGAGGCCCTGGGTTCGATTCCTCAGTACCACATAAACAGAAAAAGCCGGAAGTGGTGCTGTGGCTCAAGTGGTAGAGCGCTAGCCTTGAGCTGAAGAGCTAAGGGACAGCGCCCAGACCCAGAGTTCAGGCCCCATGACTGGCAAAAACAAACAAACAAACAAACAAAAAACTGTAAATGGATTAGAAGCAATCACGTGACCACCAGGACTTAACTAGAGAGATTGACCAGAGGGTCGACAAGTACCTCAACCGAGGGTATACTCTGGCTGGAGGACTATCCCGAGATAAACATGAGATTCTGTAAACAACAGACACTTCTACCCAGGCCCAATAATTTTGTTATTTGAAAATATTTTAGATCCTAACAGATGAGTGGCCAGTAGGAAAAACAAATTCAATTTTCACCAAAGGTTTATCTCTCAGGAATTATAGACACAAGTAAATGTAAAATGACAACTATGTCAGGGTTGTGATATTATCTCCAGCCTGTTTTTCCCCTCTCCCAGCTGCTCTTGTAATCACGTTCAAATTAGACCTCAGGCCATCCACAGGCAGTATGCAGGAACTTCAGATGGGGGGGGGGGGGTGAGCCTCCTACTTGTCCTGGCCTCCTTGCCGTCCATGACAAGGATTCCTTCAA